ACTAACCTCATCCCGCCCCCTTGACCTGTCCGTCCTCCCTGAACTGATCTATCCCCTCCCTACCTCCCCACCTACACCCACCTTTACTGGCTCCATCCCCGCCTCTTCGACCTGTCTGTTTCCTCTCCACCTATCCTCTCCTCTATCCATCTTCTATCTGCCTTCCACTCTCTCCCTATTTATTTCAGAACCCCCTTCCCCTCCCCCATTTCTGAAGAAGGGTCTAGGCCTGAAACGTCAGCCTTCCTGCTCCTATGATGCTGCTTGGCCTGCTGTGGACTGACAAAGGAGTTGCTAACGATCAGGCTGGGAGGGTGAATAGTTGTTAGTGGGGACTGTTAGTGACTAACAACAGGGGGTGTGTAGTGTAATGTTTCGGGACCAGTAACTTCAGGAGAAAGATCACTGGACCTGAAACATTAACTCTGCTTTCTCTCCACAGATGTTGCCAGACGTGCTGAGTTTTTTCAGCACTTTCTGTTTTTGTTCCTGATTTCTAGCGTATACAGTTCTTTGTTTTATTTAGAATTGTTAGTGCTGTTGATTTCTCTAACTTGCTTTGGGGTTTATTAAACTGGGTAATGGTGCCAAAAAGCATACTAGTTCTTCTATTTTCTTTGTAATTCAAACTCAGTAGTTCTGACAGCATCTGTGCAGGGAGAAACAGAGTTAATATTTCCAGTTCAGTGGCCCTTCACAGCCAGAACTTCTGAGTTTCTCCAGCATTTTCTGATTGTCTTTCAGATCTTTAGTATCTACAGTTCTTTGCTTTTATTCTTCTGCCTTATTCATGTGTCTTAGCTTATTTGGGTAAATAATAGTTTTAGACCTATTTAATTACATTAAAATATTTTTACTACAAGACAAAACAAATAAAGCTAACTTCATTTCAGAATTGGTTAGACTTGAAGGAGTTCATGTGTATCACAAAAACAAAACCCACTGTCTGAGAAACAAATATAATAATCACAACCAAAAATGTTGTGCTTATGGATAAGTAAGTAACTGAACCGTTTTTTTCTCTAGTGATGAATGTCAAGCCTTCAAATGTTCCTACATTTCCAGATATTTACCATATTTCAGGTATGGTCAGTGTTCTTTTAAAGTAAGTTCTTTGAAAAGATGGCCAGAATTTATTTGAGCAAACGTTGGATACATCAGTCTACAACCTTTTACCAAAAGCTTTTGCAGATGAGAAGGAAAAAATAGTGAAGAAGTGTTTGTACCAAGATGAGCAGGATAATCATAATGGTATTTTCTGTATTGACCTGTCTCACCACAGTATGATTCATTGTGTTTAATGGGAGCCCTGCTTTACACTGTAAAATGCGATTCTGGATTTTTCTCTGAAACATTTTATGTGAAGTTAGTTAAAGTTTTCATGTGACAACGGTGTTTTTGTTGCATTTCCATTCAAATGACCTTACTCCTTTGTTTGAAGAAGTTGGATGGAATTGTTTTTCTGTTTGTCTGTGCACTATCAATTGTATGGAACTCCCTGTGGAATTGACAATGCCATGAAGATGTAAGCAGATTGGTTGGTTGAAATGTTGATGAATGATAGAAGAAGCGGTGGAAATGTCGGTGCTGTATTGGAATATGATTCTGTTGTTACATACCATTGTGGTTTTCTGAGTAATCCATCTGTTTGTAGTTTCTCCCTTTTAAAAACTGCTGTGCGCATATCGTTTGCGAAATAATGGACTGGAGTTAGTCTGAACTGACCCTATCGACAGAACCTGTTGACAGTCTGCAGGAGAACCTACTTGCAATTAAAATCTGAACCTTTACTTGTAAGAGTTATATGAACCTTGTAAGGTATTTGTGTGTCTGCAGAACAAAAGGACAGAGTATCTGTTTTAGAGATAGTAGGAACTGCAGATGCTGGAGAATCTGAGATAACAAGGTGTAGAGCTGGATGAACACAGCAGGCCAAGCAGCATCAGAGGAGCAGGAAAGCTGACGTTTCGGGCCTAGACCCTTCTTCAGAAAATGCTCCTCTGATGCTGCTTGGCCTGCTGTGTTCATCCAGCTCTACATCTTGTTATATCAGAGTATCTGTTTTCTTGGGTTACCTTAGTGATCCAAATTTTTTATTCACTTGTGGGATGTGGGTGTCACTGGCTGGACCAGCATTTATTGCTCATCCCTAGTTGCCCCCTTGAAAGGTGGTGGTGAGCTGTCTTCTTGAACCCCTGAAGTCCGCATGCTGTAGGTAGATCTACAATGCGCTTAGGGAGGGTTATCCAGCATTTTGACCCAGCGACAGTGAAGGAACGGTGATGTATTTCAAAGTCCTAGGGAATAGGGTGGCACAGAAGGGGGGCCACTTACTTCCCCCTGGACCAGCAGTGGAGGGCACAACACCAGACCCTGCCAGCTTGGTCCATAGTTACCACCTGGGTCAGTATGGTCCCAGCCATCAGGAGAAATATCCAAAAGTGTCTGCACTGCCAGGGGTAAGTGCTACTGTCTCTCCAATACCTCGCATTCACTCTTCTCTGTTACTGCACCCACCTCCCACCAATTCTTATGCTCTACCACTTTCACTATTGTTTTCAATATCTCCCCTTACTCATTTTCACCCACCCCAACCATGCACACAACTAACCTTGCATGGCCTGTGCACTGCCTACTCACTTACATAGGACATCTCACCGCAGGAAGGTTGGTGGTTCGAGACCACCCAGAGATGAAGTATTCATTCATGGACAGCATGGTGGCTCAGTGGTTAGCACTGCTGCCTCACAGCACCAGGGACCCGGGTTTGATTCCACCCTTAAGTGACTGTGCAAACTTCACACAGACATTCTCCCCGTGTCTGCGTGGGTTTCCTCCGGGTGCTCCGGTTTCCTGCCACAGTCCAAAGATGTGCAGTGTAGGTGAATTGGCCATGCTAAATTGCCCATAGTGTTCAGGGATGTGTAGATTAGGTGGGTTATAGGGGGATGGATCTAGGTGGGATGCGCTTAGGGTTGGTGTGAACTTGTTGGGTCAAACGGCCTGCTTCCACACTGTAGGGATTCTATGATGATTTCTATGATGCCTGGCCCATTTTGTGAGCTGGGTGCCTGTCCCTGCAGCACAAGAGTGCTGATACCACCATTCCAGTGAGAAACCTGTCTGCTCCATAACGCAGCCCTGAACGGTAGGAATACCTTTTAAGTGGACCATGTGGAGATGTCCCATGATGGTATAGAGAGGGACTAGCATGTGTTCGATGTCAGAGTCCATGGGCATGCTGCCCTAGAGCATGCCCTGAGACATTGGTACTGGGTGTCTAAGGTGGAAGTCCAGAGGATAGGTGGTGACTTGGAGTCACCAGGTTCCTGCTCTCCTATTCATATCGGGAATTCTCAGCTTCTAGTTTCTACCTGGTTTGTGGTACAATAGGAAGCTGCATATTAATGAGATGAGCTTCAGTGTTAATCAGTGTGTGAGAACAAACAATAATCCACCTCTGTAGGCAACTCATGGTTCCCTGGCGTGAATCTCATCGCAATGTCCAGAACTCTGGTTGGAAAATGCGCCTTGTTGCTCCCGAGGTCATGAAAGGCCTCTCCTGAATTCTCACGTGATTCTCCCAGATTCCTCCACGTGGCCCACACTGTTCAGGGCTGGGGCACATTCTAACCATCTTGTTTAATTCCTTCTTAGCACCTTTAGGTTTCAAGAGCAGTCCCTGCAAGAAATGCAAAATAAATACACTGCTATGAATGCAACAATTTATAAGTTTATAATGTTGTTAACCAACTCTTTAGGGTAAAATGGAGTAACAGTCATGTGATCTGTTATGAGTTCTGCAACAGGCCAAGTGGCCTGGTTATCATAGGGATGGGGGACTTGGTCAAAAACTTAAGAGCCGGTTGCAAAATGATTGCACCTGAAAGAAGCAGCTGGCTGGATTCTCTGTCTCAGGGACTATGGGCCAGGATGAGAGAAAGGGAAGTACACAAACAAAGCTGGAGCTGGTGTGTCGAGAAGGGAGAGTGCTGCCTTTCTGTGAATTACCAGGCAGAATGAGGAAGGGAAGATGGTCCGTGTTTGAAGAGATGCATCTCATGGCAATCTAAAGACTCCAGAGGATTTGTTTTGGTGTGACAAGGATTCAACAGAGCGAAAATAATGTTGCTGGAAAAGCTCAGCAGGTCTGGCAAATCTGTGAAGGAAAAAAGCAGAGTTAACGTTTCTGGTCCGGTGACCCTTCCTCAGTTCTTTCGGTTTTTATTCAACAGAGCGAGTTGTGCTGGTAGTCAGTTTGGAAACTCTGGAAGCTGGGTAAAGCACCTTTTGATGGTCCTCTAGCTTTGCAATAGGTAAAACATGGAGAAGCAAACTAGTTAGAAGCTGGAAATAATTTTGGACTACCACCAGTAAAAACTGCAATTCTGTGGCAAGCAGGCTGTGAAATATTACTAGAGATGAAGTTTTCAGGCATGTTAAAATGGGGGGTATCTTTTCTATCATCTTTTGTATAAGCTGGCCAAGTTTAGTCATTGTTAATTTTAGTTGTTTTGTCACATCAAAAGTCTTAAAACATAAAACCTTGCCATAAGGTTCCTTTAGATCAGTCACGGGAAATTCAAATCACTTGTTTTAGAAGGATATGGGGGGATTTGATAGAAACATAAAATCCTGATGGGACTGGACAAGCTAGATACAGGAAGAATGTTCCCAATGTTGGGGAAGTCCAGGACTAGGGGTCACCGTCTAAGAATGAGGGGTAAGCCATTCAGGACTGAGATGAGGAAGAATTCCTTCACTCAGAGTTGTGAACCTGTGGAATTCTCTCCCACAGAAAGTTGTTGGGGGCCAGTTTGTTAGATGTTTTCGAAAGGGAGTTGGATGTGGCCATTGCAGCTAAAAGGATCAAGAGGTGTGGAGAGAGGACAGGAGTGTGATACTGAGATTGCATGATCAGCCTTCAATGAGTGGTGCAGTCTCAAAGGGCTGAATGGCCTACTCCTGCACCTATTTTCTATGTTTAAAAGTATCGGCCTCCAGGGATCATAACAACAGTTCCAGTATGTTCTGGTTCCACTGCTTTAGAGAGACACACAGACTTCGAAAAACTGCTGAGTTTAAAATGTTTAGCTTTAAAAAAAATCCAAGCTAATGTATAACTTTTACCACTTTGGTGAGCGCATGACCTTTCGACAAAGAAATATGATATTGCATTTGGGGAAGTGAGAGTTATGTTGCATATTTGTCTGGTGATTTTTTTTTTGTTTGTGAGATGATTTGGTACTTCTTGTTAAAAGTTTGATCTGCCTTTGATTTGTTCAGCTACCAAGAATTAATCAGATTGAAAATTGCTGTCAACTACTTAACCAATTTTTCTTCATAAGTATGGGGACTTGTGACTATATTTTTTTAAAGGTATTTGTGTATGTAACAAAAACCTATATAGTAGAATTTATTTATTTTTAAGCCCAATTCATATAACGTGCTTTCAACTACAACTTTTATTAGAAAAGAAACCTCCAAGTACTTGACAGGAGTTTGATCAAACAGATAGTTAGCTGAGCTTCATTTGAACACGTTACCAGAATCTTGGTTAAAAACTTAGATGTTAAGAAGTGTCCTATACAAGAATAGAGATGTAAGTAGTTTGAAAGATGGAGGAAGTATAGAGTTTATGGCCTAGACAGCTGAAGGCACAGATACTAAGATACAAACTAATGTCAAAGATATCAAATTAAAATATGCCCAGATATTACAAAAGATGCAACTATGTAACTTCTTATCTACAATTTGTGTAAAGTACGTGAAATTGAAATTTATCTTCTGATTGTTGACTAGAATAAATAATGAACCATTGAAAATGTGAAGACGTTACTTGTTTTGCTAATGAAACTGATGCTTGACTTGCACCTCATTGGTCATAGAGCTGTACAGCACGGAAACAGACCCTTCAATTCAACTCGTCCATGCTGACCAGATATCCTAAATAAATCTAGTCCCATTTGCCGGCATTTGGCCCATATCCCTGTAAACCCTTTTCCATTCATATGCCCATCTAGATGCCTTTTAAATGTTGTCACCACCAGTCTCCACCACTTCGTCTGGCAGCTCATTCCATACACACACCACCCTCTGCGTAGAAAAAGTCGCTCCTCAGGTCCCTTTTAAATCATTCCCCCTCACCTTAACCCTATGCATTCTAATTTTGGACTCCCCACCCTGGGGAATAGACCTTGTCTATTTACCCTATCCATACCCCTCATGATTTTATAAACCTCTACAAGGTCACCCCTCAGTCTCTGCTTCTGGGAAAATAGCCCCAGCCTTTTCAGCCTCACCCTGTAGCTCAAACCCTCCAATGCTGGCAACATCCCTGTAAATCTTTTCTGAATGCTTTCAAGTTTCACAATCTCCTTCCCAGAGCAGGGAAACCAGAATTGTATGCAGTATTCCAAAAGTGGCCTGTACAGCTGCAACATGACCTCCGAACTCCTACACTCAATGCACTGACCAATAAAGGCAAGCATACCAAATACCTTCTTCACTATCCTATCTATCTGCAACTCCACTTTCAAGGAACTATGAACCTGGACTCCAAAGTCTGTTTGCTCAGCAACACTCCCCAGGGCCTTACCATTAAGTGTATAAGTCCTGCCCTGATTTGCCTTTCCAAAATGCAGCACCTCACATTTATCTAAATTAAACTCCATCTACCATTCTTTGGCCTATTGGCCCATCTGATCAAGATTCTGTTGTACTCTGAGGTAACCTTCTTTGCTGTCCACTATGCCTCCAATCTTGGTGTCATCTGCAAACTTACTAACCATACCTGCTACGTTTGCATTCAAATCATTTACATAAATGACAAAAAGCAGTGGACCCAGCACCGATCCTTGTGGTACACCGCTGGTCACAGGTCCAGTATGAAAAGCAACCCTCTACCGCCATTCTCTGTCTTCTTCCTTCAAGCCAGTTTTGTATCCAAATGGCTAGTTCTCCCTGTATTCCATGTGATCTAACCTTGCTAACCAGTCTACCATGAGGAACCTTGTCGAACCCCTTACTGAAGTCCATATAGATCACATCCAACGCGCTGCCCTCCTCAATCCTTTTCGTTACTTCTTAAAAAACTCAATTAAGTTAGTGAGACAAAATTTTCCACACACCAAGCCATGTTGACTGTCCCTAATCAGCCCAATGTCTGGCTCACCAGTCTATAGTTCCCTGGCTTTTCCTTACCACCTTTGTAAATTGTGGCATCCACATTTGCCAACCTCCAGTCTTCTGGCACATCACCACTGGCCAGCGATGATACAAATATCTAAGCAAGGGGCCCAGCACTCACTTTCCTCGCTTCCCATAGAGTTCTAGCGTGCACCTGATCGGGTCCCAGGGATGTATCCACCTTTATGCATTTTAACCAGTCCAGCACCACCTCTACTGTAATGTGAATGTTTTTTACAATGTCACTATTTATTTTCTCATGTTCTATATCTTTCATATCCTTCGCCACTGTAAACACTGATGCAAAATACTCATTTAGTGTCTGCCCCATCTCCTGCAGGTCAAAATTACTTCTTTAATGATTTTGTTGACAGGGACTATTTCTTTGCCATATGCTGAGGTTGAAGAACCATTTGAAGCTTGGTACAACTTCCTTGGGCAAGTCAGCCGCATTGAATACTATGACGGTATCGTAAATATTATTGTAAATTACTCTTTCTCTTCAGTATTAGAAATGTCATAATGACGTGAATACACTTGATTCATCTCTGAATTTAACCTAAAAGATTAATTCAGGCTAAATTTAGACTTGGGGTGAACTTGATGAAAGGCAATATTGGGATAGTTTTAGGCTCAGTTCACCTTCTTGTCTTCTGGTTTAATGAAAGCAGAGATAGTAAGAAGATAGAAAATTGGAGTTGGAGAAGAATATATTCCCTATTCAATTAATTACAGCTGATATTCTGTGAACTCCACTTTCGCTCACACTGCGCACATCATTTGTCTCTGAACGTCCAAAAATCTACCCCTGCCTTAAATGTGTTCAATGATGAAGAAAGTTCCAAAGGTACACAGCCTAGAAGAAATTTCTCCTCCCTCAATCCTGTATGATTGGCCCCTTATCCTGCGAATGTGCCCCACAGTGTTCCAGATTCCCAGCTGGGATGGAGGTGTGGGGGAGTGGGGGCACATATCGGTGTCGGTCTTTTCAAGCCCTATCAGAATCTTGTACATTTCAAAGAGGTCATCTCTCTTCTAAACTCCAGAAGGAGGGGACCCAATTTATTCAGCCTGTGTTTGAAAAATTAATCAGCTTGTACTTTGAGTAGAACACCCTGGATTTGAGACAATGACAGTGACAGTTTGTAGGAAATAAGTATGTTTTTAATGGATAATTTTGTAGCTTGTTAAAAAAGCAAAATAACTATTCTGCCTTCAGCAGTAATATAGTATCTTTGGAGCTAAGCTAGTCATGGACCTGAGAATGATCTATTCAAAAGAATTGGTACCATTTCATTTATGTTTTAATATAGAAATCTTTTACTAATTTCATATAATACATGTTTCTACTCATTTGACAGGTCAGGTTATAACCCTACAGCATGAATTCGAAAAGCCAGCTGGAATTAGTTACAAAATTTCTCCAGCAACTACAGAAACGGAGATAAATGTTATCAAATGCTTCCAACTAAATGGGACCATCTATAATCCTATCTTTGCACAGCCGGTTATTCCAGATTTGAAAAGTTTTCAGGTGAGGATGTGCATTATCAGAAGGAAAAGGACTGAAATGCTAATGACACTGAACAGAACGGCAGCATGTCAAGCTAAGAAGTTGCTGCACATTTTAACAATGCGTTCATTTCATCAAAGCTGAAATGTTCAGGTGCTTCTTTCCCTTTCTGGCATTAGAATAAAGTTATTAACCTTTTAAGTCTGTTTGATATCTGAAGCAAAAGCCGTTTATTTATGAGAAGGAGGGATTACTAACTACTCATGAGCCAGTCGCCACCTTCATCATTCACTCTCTTGACCACTGGCGCACACAGCAGCAGCAGGAAGGAGCAGTGGTAGTGTCCCTACCTCTGAGCCAGGAGGCCTGGTTTCGAGTCCCACCTGCTCCAGAGGTGTGTAATAACATCTCCGAGAAGGTTGATTAGCACATATCTGTACCATCTACGAGATGTGCTGTGGAATTCACCAAGAATCTTCTGGTTATGCCTTCCAAACCTTCAACCTCTGCACTCTAGAATCCAATGATGACCATGAAACCATTGCCAATTATTGGACAAACCCATCTGGTTCACTAATGTTCTTTAGGGAAGGAAACCTGCCATCCTTACCACGTCTGGCTGACATGTGACTCCAGACCCACAGCAATGTGGTTGACTCTTAACTGCCCTCTGGGCAATTACAGATGGGCAATAAATGCCGGCTTGGATAGTGATGCCCTTGTCTCATGAATGAATAGTAATTTAAAAAAACGTAGAGGGACAAGGGCAGCAGATTTGTGAGAACACCACTACATTCACAATCCCCTCCAATTCACACAACATTCTGACCACTGCACCTGTGTTTTTGTTCTTTCATTGTCACTGGGTTAAAATCCTGGCACTAGCTCTGTGGATGACCCTCTGTCACACAGACTGCGGTGGCTAAAAGCAGCAGCTCGCCACCACCTCCTCAAGGGCAATTAGTGATGGGCAATAAATGCTGCTGAGTACCGTGAATGAATGCATTTTTAAAAAGATGCTATAATTAAATTAAAGTAATGTAGAATCTTTTTGATAACCGCGTTCTTATATATATTTACTTCTTTAGTTCTTAAAGGAAGAGAATTACAAAGGAGTTCATTGCAGTGTATGGCAAAATGTCACGGTGGTGGATAAAAAGAAGAATACTTACACCATGTGGGTTTCCAGTTCTACGGAAGGCCCCATTCCTGTCCATTATGAAATGAAGGGATACAACACTTTGCTTGGCGGACACTATGACAAATATGAAATAGATTACAATAAATTGAAGTATGATATGGACCCAAATGTCTTCAAACTTCCTGAAGGTAACACATCCAACAGACAGATGCTGCAGCCTTGTGGAGCGCCAGCATTTTATGTGGTTATAATTTACCTTAATTCACTTGTTTCAAAAGTAAGTCTTGAGAACTTTAAAGGAATGTGCTTGGGAAGAGTGAGTTGATCAGCTTCAAAAACTTTGATTAAACTGCTCAAGTAGTCCCGATATTCCTGGGGTTTTCTCTTCATGTTTAAGAGCTGATCCAAGATGTTGATCATTTTAATTTACAACGGCACCCTGCTTTCATGACTGACAATGTGCAGTGTGCTCAGGTTCTCCTGATGTAATTCAATGTTAGAGTTATAGAGATCTACAGCACAGACGAAGATCTTCTGACCGTCAAGTCTGCACTGGTGAAAATTTCAGCACCTGATATTGTAATGTCATTTTCCTGCACTAGGCCCATAACCTTGTGTGCCTTGTTGTGTTGAATAGAAGATGAGTGTTTTTCTAGTATGGGAGCAGGCACACACTGCCTAGAAGGGTGGTACAGGCAGAAACCCTCATAACACTGAAGAAGCATTTTGATATGCACTCGTGATGTCATGGCATACGGAATACTGTCCAGGCGCTCTAAAATGGGAATGGAGTAGTTAGGTGCTTGTTTTCGACTGTCGCAGATTCGATGGGCCAAAGGGCCTTTTTCTGTGATAAGTGTTGGAGGAAGGAACTAGGAGTTGGAGTGAGAAGAGTTAAAAGTGAACGCATATAAATTGCAAGTTTGAAATGTTTAACTGTTCAATATTAGTGGGGAGGCAATGGCCTAGTTGTATTATCACTAGACTGTTCAAATCCCGCCATAGCAGATGGTGGAATTTGAATTTAATAAAATTCTGGAATTAGGAGTCTAATAGTGACCGTGAATCCATTGTTGATTGTTGGAAAAAGCCATTTGATTCACTAATGTCCTTTTAGGGAAGGAAACTGCCATCCTTGCCTAGACTGGATTCCACGTGACTCCAGACTGACAGCAATATGGTTGACTCTTAACTATCCACTGGGCAGCTAGGGTTGGGCAATAAATGCTGGCCTGGCCAGCAATGCCCTCATCCCGTGAATGAATTTTTAAAATATACAAGCATATTTGTAAATAGGATCCTTTTGAAATCATTTGTAAAATAAATAGAATCATTTTGGTTTAAATTTTCCTTTAATTACATTAAACATAACAGTTTGCAGCATAAAGATGATTTTTCCAGAGTGGATGCTTCCTTACTCCTCCAGCCCCTCTATGTTAATATTTAGTAGCTGAATGAGAAGGGTTTAGAACATCAAAACCGAAACAGTAATTTAAACAGTAATTTGCAGGATATCTTGTAAAAGACTTTTGATATGTACAAGAGGAAATGGTAATGGTAATGTCACTAGACTTGTCAATCAGAGTCTGAGGCTAGTGACAGTGGGTATTGGTACTTTGGCAGCTGGCAAAGTTTACATTTCATGGATAAACTTGAAATTGAAAGCTAGTCTCTGTAATGGTGAACATGAAGCTATCACTAATTGTTGTAAAGATGCTTCGATAATGCTTTACTAATATCCTACAGGGATAGAAACCTGCCTGGTCCGGCCTACATGTGACTCCAGATCTACAGCTATATGGTTGCTATAGCAGTCGGGGTCTATAACTGCTCTCTGAAGTGGCCTTGCCTCTCAGATCAAAGACAATTAGGGATGTACATTAAATGCTCACTTTGCCAGCAGTGTCTATGTCCCATGAACAAACTTAAAAAAAAAAAACATGTTTCACAAGTGAAATAATTTGTGTAGTAGTTGACTGTTGAACACAGGAGTGGAATTTATTTCTGTTCCCCCAACCCACACCTTGGACGAGCTCTGATGGGGAGGGAGGGTGGGGAGGGCTGCATGATGGCGCAAGATGGAGATTGTGACCTGAAGTGACCGTTTAGGGGTCTTGCCCTGATTTGCTGGTATTCAACCAGCGATGGACTGGGGACTCACCATCAGCCTAAAAGGGTGAGTGGCGTTGCCCCATATGTGGGTACTCTGTGCCCAATCAAACACCCCTGCATCAGGAAGGGATGGGCACTGAGAGCCCCCGTTCCCCCATCCCAGCCTCACTCACCTCTGGCCTGATGTTCCTTCAGCAATCTCAGGCTTCTCCTAAGATGCATTTCTAGCAGCAGCCAGCACTCCAGTGGTACCACCCGTTAGACTGAGATGAGGAAGAAAGTCTTTACCCAGAGAGTGGGGAGCTGTAGAATTCTCTTCCACCAAAAGTGGTTGAGAGCAAAACATTGAATATTTTTAAGAAGGAGTTACACATAGTTCAAAGGGCTAAAGAGATCATAGGGTATGGGGTAGAAAGTGGGAGCAGGGTACTGAGTTGGATGATCAGCCATGATCATATCGAATGGTGGAGCAGACTTGAACAGCTGATTGACCAACTTCTGCTACTGTTTCATATGTTTCAATGTGATGGAGAGCTGCCAGGTTCTGATTGGTTAGCAGCTCGGTGATTGGAAGTGGTGAAGGTTTCAGGTGTGGCCCAGAGACGGCCACTAGTGCCTAAGGGTGCCTGTCCCTTTGGAAATGAGGCAGGTCTTTCAGTGGTTTTCAATAAGCTGGTGAGACCCCTGCTGCCAATGTTAAATTCTCACGAATGAATAATTACTACACACTATAATGTATTTTTTTATAAATTATCACAGGTTTGTCTTGTGAAAGCTTTCCTGGTCCTGCAGCAGAACACAGAATTGTGGCCAATCCCATTCAGAATTTAATTGACACTGACCAAGGTAGTACGACGCATGATTTGTTCAAGTATTACAAGAAGAAATTTAATAGGGACTATGAGAAAGATGATAAGGAGCATGAGATGAGAAAAACAACATTTACTCACAATATGAGGTAAAGTTGGTTATCATTGTGTGATTGTCATCAAAACTAATTTCACAAAGGCTCAATTTAAACATAGAAAATAGGAGTAGGCCATTCACCTTTAAATGCACTGTTTGGGTAAAGAAATTTCTCTTCATCTCAGTCCTAAGTGGCCCACGTTATATCCTTAAACTGTGCCCCCTGATCCTGGGGGCATTAGAGAATGGGGTTTAACAGTTCAGCTTTTCAGGTCACTGTTGATCAAAATTTATGCTGTTGGAGTCCCAACAGCTTGGTCCATTGATCTAGAGCCAAGAGTTCAGATCCTACCGTGGCAGCTGGGGAATTTTTTAATGGAATGAATTTCAATTAAAAAGCTAGTATCAGTTATGGCGAATCATTAAGCTATTGGATTGTTGAATAAAAAACGTCTGGTTTGTTCATGTCCTTCAGGGAAGGAAATGTGCCGTCCTTCCGTAGTCCCGCCTGTACTTTGCTCCACGGTGGCTCAGTGGTTAGCACTGCTGCCTCACAGCGCCAGGGACCCGGGTTCGATTCCACCCTCAGGTGACTGTCAGTGTGGAGTTTGCACGTTCTCCCTGTGTCTGTGTGGATTTCTTCCGGGTACTCCGGTTTCCTCCCACAGTCCAAAGATGTGCAGGGTAGGTGTATTGACCATGCTAAATTGCCCATAGCGTTCAGGGATGTGGAGATTAGGTGTGTTATAGGGGTATGGGTTGGTGTGGACTTGTTGGGCCGAAGAGCCTGTTTCCACACTCTAGGGATTCTATGATTCTATGAAATCTAGATGCTTGACCTTTAGCTACTTATTTTTTAAGACCTCCACAAGTCAGCACAATGTACAGAGCAGCTGTTGTCACCAGTCTGCAGTACTGCAGTGAGACCTGGACTGTGTGTCAACAAAATTTCAGGGCACAAGAAAAATTCCATCAAGAGCTCCTCTGTGGTATCCTCCAAATTCAAAATTGAATAATTTTGGTGTGCTTCTTGAAGCCAGGTTCTCAACGATTCAAGCAAAACCTCTGCAAAATAGAGCCAATGTCATTACAGTCAATATCAAAATGGCCAAAGCTGTCTACTAGACCAGATTGTGGTTTCTCAACTTCTCACTTGGCCAACATTCCAAAAGAGGACAAAGAAAATTGGCACGATGTGACCAGTGGTGTCTCACAAGGACCCATGTTAGGGTCTCCATTATTCACATTCATTATTAGCGAGTTGGATAATGGCATCGAAAGTCAGATATCCAAATTTGCTAATGACACAAAGTTAGGTGGCATTGTGAACAATGTAGATGATAGCATAACATTACAAAGGGATATTGATAGTCTAGGTTAATGGGCAAAACTGTGGCAGATGGAATTCATGATAAGCAAGCACAGAGTTATCCAGAGATAGTAGGAACTGCAGATGCTGGAGAATCCGAGACAACAAGGTGCAGGGCTGGATGAACACAGCAGGCCAAGCAGCATCATAGGAGCAGAGAGGCTGACGTTTCGGGCCTAGACCCTTCACAGAGTTATCCATTTTGGATTGAAACAGGGATAGATCAGGGTGCTTCTTTAAATCTAAGAATTGTACTAAGTACTTTGTACCTAAAATGGCACCATGAGAGGCAACATTGTAAACATTTCACTGTACTCTGTACTTGAATACATGTGACAGTAAAGGATATTCTAATTCTGATTCTTTCTAGATGGTATCAATTTAAACACAATGGATGTCCAAAGATACTGGGGGTGTGGTGGTTCAGGTACACAGATCTTTAAAATGTCATAAACAGGTGCAGAAAATAATCAAGAAAGTAAATGGAATGCTGGCCTTTATATCTAGAGGACTGGAGTACAAGGATGCATACATTAAGCTGCAGTTATACAAAACCCACGTTAGACTCAAATGGGAGCACTGTGAGCAGATCTGGACGGAATCCCTCAGGAAGGATACATTGGCTTTGGAGGAAGTATAACATAGGTTTACAATAATGATACCCAGACTTCAGGGGTTAGGCTATGAGGAGAGATGATACAAATGAGGCCTGATTTCTCAAACTTAGAAAGTCAAGGGGTAACTGATCAAAGTTTTCAAGATATTAACAGGAAAAGACAGGGTAGATAAAGATAGTGTTTCCAATGATTGGGGATTCTAGAGCTAGGGACATAGTCTGAGAATGAGGGTCAGGCTGTTCAGGAGAGATGTTCGGAAGCACTTTGACACACAAAGGGTGGGAGAGGTTTGGAACTGTCATCCACAACTTGCATCAGATGCAGCATTATTGTTAATTTAAATCTGAGATTGTTTAACAAAAAAAGTGAGGTATTAAGTGATACGGGCCAAAGGCAGGTATTTAGAGTTAGGCCACAGATCAGATGTGACCTCATTGGTGAACAGGCTTGAGGGGCTGAATGGCCTACTTCTGTTCCTATGTTCCTATAATAGAATGTTTCCCTGCAAAAAAAAGAAACATAATTTTAGTTTGTTTTCCTTGCAGATAATGTGATTAAAATCTATTTGAAATGGCTTCAGTGGCAACCTTGCCCAGAAAGATGTTACCTTTATCTGGCCACTCTTAGTGAGTAATGTCACTTAGAAATGGAATTGCCAAAAATGTTGCCAGCAGAAGAATTGTTGTCAGCCATATCATTTTATATTTGTTCGTGAGACATAGACACCACTGGCTAGGCCAGCACCTATTGCCCATTGAAATTTTTTTTTCAAAAATATACGTTATTTATAAAAAAAATCCTTGTGTGTATATATACACAGTCACAAATGCAGTTTGGTTCTGTACAATATCATGTCAAGTAAACAAACAAACATTTGAGTTTGACTCTATCCCAACAAACCAAAGGCATCTCTTACACATACTAGAGTATATTTACATACATTGAGGCACTAGGAGGATCCGATAACTGAACAAACCCTCAATTAACTTCAGCAGGAAGACTTCAGACAGTGGTCTTTCCACATTGCACCTTAGTGGGCAGCTGCCCCAAGCTTTAGTGAAGCTTTCAGTTTACTGCCCTTTGAATCGACCAGAGGGCAGCTAAGGGTCAACCACATTGTGATGAATCAAGTGCCGGTACTGTAGAATCATGAGAGAAATACAGCACCTTAAGTATGATGTTACTGTAAATTCTTGAGTAAATTACAATGTAAAAAGTTGTCTTGCGTTAATGTGGTACCCCGTAACCTTAATTGAGTAACCTCATGCAATCTCAGACCATTGGAATTAGAGTCTGAGATTGTGTAGCTAAAGCCTTGAAAGAAGAATATCAGCTCAAGGGCAGCAAGCACAAGATTATAGGCTAATTATGAGAGAATTCCATGCCTGGGATGCTATCTACATGAAGATAATTGAACAAAATCTAAAGCCTCTAACAAATAAAAATCATTTGGATTATTATGAACGAATTTGAATTTATTCTCCACCTCCAATGACTTCTATTTAGCTTATGACCACTATCAAATAAGAGGTCCAAATTACGAGTGAAGAAAATAAAATTCAAATGATCAGATATTTTGAGATCCGTGGGGAAGATTTAATTTTTGAGGGCCATAATTGATGGGGAGTACATGCTGGCTTCACCAGCAACACGCACAATCCAAGGATGAATATCCAAATGGTAGGAGTCAGAAATGGTAGGAGTCCATGCAGGAGGGCAGTGGAAAATAAGTAATATTTTGCGTGTATTCATGTGTATGATGTGAGGCCCTTGCTTCCTCTAAACCATTGCTGTCTTACTTGGCTCTTCAACTACAAAGCTGCACAAAAGTAAAAATTGCTGAGAGTTTCGACACAAGCTCCTTAGGCCAAGAAGTCAAGGTTAAGTGGCACCAAGCAAGCTCATTAGCAACTGGGCTTGTTCAGCCGCTTTGCAGTTTTGTTCCGTGTTCTTTTGTGTTGAGTTTATGATTTGTTTTTCAGGTACATTCATTCAATGAATCGGAGAAACCTGACCTTCAGAATGGAAATTAATCACTTTGCTGACCAAACAATAAGTGAGATGTCTGCTCTGAATGGAAGACTGAAGAGTACCACACCAAACAATGGGCGGCCCTTCCCTACAGAACTTTACAAGTCCATTGTGCTACCTCCCAGTTTAGACTGGAGATTGTATGGTATGGGATTTTTCTCCCTTTTGCGTAGCTAATGCAAGTACCTTGTTTAAATATAAATAATCGTCAAAGCAGAAGAGCATCTTATCCATTGGATAATGTACTCTACTGCGTCCGAACCTTTTTTCGCTTTTACACTGATGGTCAGTTCAATTGTTACTTGCTTTTTAAGAACAAATCTTTATCATTAATCACCGTATTTAAAACATTTTTATCATGTTCTATAGAATTACATTATGGTGTTTGATCTTCTGAATTTACTTGCAATAGGGTTTATGACTGCAATAAGATGTTGAGCGCCAGGTCTCCGTCACATGCCAGCCTGACTCGATCAGAATTGGGAAGGAGGAACTGAAATGCTCCATTTCTCCTGTCTCTCCTTTACGCATACACAGGAGCACGTGCACACGCTGTCACACACTCACTCACATGGGGAGGCAATGGCCTAGTGGTATTATTGCTGGACTGCTCATCCAGAGACCTAAGTAATGTTCTGGGGACCGGGGTTCAAATCCCACCATGGCAGTTGGTAGAATTCGGATTCAATAAAAATCTGGAATTAAGAGTCGAAAGATGACCATTAATCCATTGTCGATTGTTGGAAAAACCCATCTGGTTCACTAATGTCCTTTAGGGAAGCAAACTGCCAACCTTACCTGGTCTGGCCTACATGTGACTCCAGACCCACAGCAATGTGGTTGACTATTAACTGCCCTCTGGGCAATTAGGGATGGGTAATAAGTGCTGGCCTAGCCTGTGATGTCCACATCCCATGAATGAATAAAAACTCAAATGAGATGGGAGGTTAGGAGTCTACACGTGTAGACTGTCTGACTCTACTGTTTAAAAATTGCTAGTGATAGGAATGGGCTTGGAACTGGGGCCCCACTAGTTATTTTTAAAGCACGCTGGTCTCTGTTCCGGAATGGTCACAGGAGTAAAAATGCAGTCCTGAGTTTCTTCTGTATTTGTAAGATTTCCATGTCCTGATGGTTTCTATCTTGGTGGTCCACTCTGTGTTAAGCATAGAGGGAAAAAAAAACCTGCAGATTCTGGAATCCAAGGCAGGCACACTGGAGGCTAGAAGAACACAGCAGGCCAGGCAGCATTTGGAGGAAAGGAGCAGTCAATATTTTGGGTATTACCCTTCTTCAGGACTGGATGTGGGGGTAGGGGGAACTGCTGATAAAGGGGGAGGGGGGTGGAGGTGGAATGGTGGTGGTAAGTGGACGCTAGTAGTAGGTACGACCTGATTGGTCAAGGGGATGGATGAATCCGTTTGGCGGCTGGAAGGGAGGGTCAGAAGGTGAAATAGAAGGGAGGAAGCCATGGAGCTGGAAGAGAAGCCGGAGGATTGATGGGAAGGTTTTTGAAAATGGAGAACTCAGTGTTGAGTCCTCCGGGCTGTAGGGTGCCCAGGCAGAAGGTAAGGTGTTGTTTTTTAAATTTGCGTTCCGAATCACTGTGATACTGGAGGAAGCCGAGGACGGATATGTCGGAGGGGAAGTGGGATAGGGAGTTGAAATGCGTGGTGACCAGGAGGTTAGGTTGGCCATTACAGGCAGGGGGAGATACTCGGTGAAACAGTCACCCAGTCTACATTTGGTCTCACCGATGTAGAGAAGACCACACCAGGAGCACCAGGATGCATTAGACTGTGTTGGAGGATATGCAGGTGAAGCTCTGTCTCACCTGGAAGGGCTGTTTAGGGCCCTGAATGGAGGTGAGGGAGGTGGTGTGTGGGCAGGTGTTGCATCTTTTATGGTTAGAGGGGAAGGTACCGGGGGGGGTTGAAGTGGTTGGTCGGGAGTGTGGCACAAACTAAGGAGTGGCGAAGGGAATGGTCCTTATGGAAGGCAGAGAGGGGTAGGGAGTGGAAGATGTCCAAGTGGTGGGATCTAATTGGAGTTGTTGGAACTGTTTGAGGATGATATGTTGGATGCGGAGGCTGATGGGGTGGAAAGTGAGGACAAGGGGGACCCTGTCTTTATTATGTTTGGGGTGGTGGTTAAGAGCTGTGGAGTGGGGAATGGAGGAGGACCAGTGGAGGGCTGTCTGGATAACAGAGGGGGGAAAAGTGTCATCCCTGCCATCAACCAACCAAGTTGTACCTACCACCAGTGTCCACCTATCACTATTATTCTGCCTCCACCCCCTCCTCCCTTCTTTATCTGCAGCTCCCCCTTCCTCCACATCCAGCCCTGAAGAAGGGTAATACCTGAAATGTTGACTGCTCCTTTCCTCTGGATGCTGCCTGGCCTGCTGTGCTCTTCCAGCCTCCTGTTTGTCTACCCTGTGTTAAGTATTGCCTGGTGTGGCTCAGGAGGACATGGAGTCTCTGTCACATTTGCTACAGGTGAAGGCAGTGGACTGAGAAGCTGCGGGATTTACTGGCCTCCGGTTTCTCTGGGCCCTTCCTTTGGAAGCTGAGCTTTTTGATTCTACTCAACTCTTCAAGGTCCTTCCAAACAAGCATCTCCAAATATCATGGCCAACAGTGAGCGTATCAGTATTCACCACCCTCAGCTTTTATATGTCTCAAGATAAATTAACAGAGTGAAATTTGGAGGAGGTTCTCGAGCTTACCTAGCACTATTCAGAAACATCCAACTAATTCAAAGAAATGATTTATGAACTTGACTCTGAATCTTGTGTAACTCCCAGGTGCTGTGACCCCTGTGAAAGATCAAGCTCTGTGTGGATCCTGTTGGAGTTTTAGTTCAACTGGGAATATAGAAGGAGCACTCTTTCTGAAGGTGAATGATGTGTTTGGGAAGTACTACAATAGTTATCCTGGAACTGTACAGCCCAGGAGGACCCTTGATACTATGGCCAAATCTTTAAAATCTAATTTGTCTCACTTCTCTGCTTTTTCCCCATAGCCCAGCATGTTTCTCTGTTGCTACATTAGAATTTGGAAAACTGTAAAATATCTAAGCAGTGGTTTAACTGATGGCTACATCTGAAGCGACAGTATTGGTGGTCTGAATTAAGATTTGAACTGTGTGAGATCCGGCCACAGGAATTTCATTAAGTTATTGCATAATTTAGTACAACATCACTCCTACTTAATGCAAACAAGACTGAGTTCATTCATATATCCTCCAGTGATTTGGCTTGAAATCTCCTGGATTAGTTTGATAAATGTTGTTCTATAGTCACACACTATCATAATAAGCCTATGGTCTCTAGAATGGAAAGACCCCTAAATGCCAAGTTGGACAGTTTTATTTGCTATTCTTTTGGGTTGAATTTTAAGAAGGGACAAACTGCCCAACCACCCCACAATAGTATTGTGTTCTGGGCAGCCTTAAATAGGTGAGGACTGCCCCTGAGTGGAAGAAAGGCCCATGCTGGGATTAGCTGGCTGTTGAAGGAGCCCAACAGTGCCAGAACTCAGCAATCGTCACTGCTGGGAATGCAAGTGGGTTCCAGGATACAAATAACGTGAATCCCAGAGAAATACTTCATGGGTTTAGATGGGGTGGGATCAGGGAAGCTAAAGAAGATTTTGGCAACAAGGCAAGAAGTGACAAAGCGGAGGTAACATCCAAGGTGTTGGGAGCAGGGGTTACCCTGAATGTGCACCAGGCTTCCTCAGTGCAGACCCCCTCACCAGCTTTCCTTCCTACAGTTTTCACACCTAGAGTCACCTGCCATGCCAGCTGTATTATGGTCTGGGCAGTGTAATATCTAGGTTAATTGGGTTGTTAACAAGTTCAAAAACAAAAACAAAGTTGCTGGAAAAGCTCAGCAGGTCTGGCAGCATCTGTGGAGGAGAAAACAGAGTTAACGTTTCGGGTCCGGTGACCCTTCCTCAGAACTTGATTTTGTTAACAAGCTCAGTTTTCCATTTTAAAAACATGGTGGACTGGCTGCCTGTTTCAGTGCCTGCCTGCCTTTTGTTTTTGTGGGGTTCAGGTAAGGGTTAGGTGGGAAGGCAGTGGATCAGGTACATGCCCGCGGCACATTGCCAGAAAGCTGCCTAGTCAGGGCTGGGCTGTAAAATCCAGCTTCTTTCTTTCACAGTGTACTGTTGACTTTCATCTCATCTGTGTGAGCTGGTTCTGATTTACAAATAGTAAGAAGCTAACATTTGAGAGACACCACCAATTTTTGCAAACAAAAAGAGGGGATCCATTTATATTCTTCATCTTGATAAGCATAATTACTTGTTTTTCATTGTCTTTATTATGAATAGATAAACACTGAGAGATTGGGGCTAATATTTGAACAAGAACAATGGAATTTAGCACTAGCAACTGTTTCGCATGGAGCTAAAGACATGAGGACAAAGTTATCTCGATTCAAAACTGATGAACATTGTCCTCAACAGAGTTGTGCAGAGTAAGCCTTACTGAGGCCTAATACTCAAGAGGCAGGGAAAGATTTGACCAATTCAGCTTTGCCTAGTTTGGAAGTGCCATTGGACGTAATGACTCTCTCAACATTTCAAGAAGACCAGTGTGAAATTATCTTCCTTAAATTTAGTGACATTATTGCAGACAGAAAATTGGCACTTATGCACTGGTACTGTTTTTAAGCCTGTCTTCGAGTAAATATTGTGGAGAGACAGTGTGCAATTAAGTATAAAAGCCTTAAATTTCCATTTCCATTTTACAAAAAAAGACTGCATTTTCAATCACACTTTGCCTGCTCCAGTTTCTCCTTTCTGTGGAAGTTATTTATCACCAGTTTAACAATTAATTGAAAAATGATAAATGGTCAGAGACTACTTTTTATTGAATAATTTTTTTAAAAAAATCTATTAAGCCATTGTATTTAGTTTACAGACGAAATCAAACCAGTGTCAATGCTAGCTTCCTTCATGGTCCGCTAATCAGTTTGTTAACATAGACAATGAGTATTTAATCTTTTTCAATCCTTAACACCATTGTTGTTGTAAACTTGGATTATGTTTATCTTCAGACAGGAATTTTAGTCCCGCTGTCTCAACAAATGTTACTTGATTGTACATGGGGTTTTGGAAATGCTGCTTGTGATGGAGGGGAAGAATGGCGGGCGTTTGAATGGATCATCAAACATGGTGGAATTGCAACTGCAGATTCATATGGTTCTTACCTGGGACAGGTGAGTATTAGGAGCAAGAGTAGGCCATTCAGCCCATCAAGCCTGCTGCACCATTTAATATGATTATGGCTGATCCAAAGTTTCTATGCCTTTTACTCACATTTTCCCCATAAGCTTTTACATCAATGATATTCAAAAATTATCAACCTCCACTTTAAATGTACTCAAAATATTGAGCTTCCACAGTCCTCTGGAACAGAGAATTCAAGAGTTTTCTGATGAGTTTGTTTTTCGGCAAATAGTATTAAAAGCAACAGTGCACTGAAACAGAGATAACAAGGTGTAGAGCTGGATGAACACAGCAGGCCAAGCAGCATCAGAGGAGCAGGAAGGCTGACGTTTCGGGCCTAGACCCTTC